TTTTAAAACCCCCAAGGAACTTCTGCTGGCTGCTAAGGTTACGGTTGCAAAGAAGAAAAAGATATGGTATGTGTTTTTATGGACCAAACTTTCATGATTTTTGCTTGATTGAACAGATGATTACACAAATGGTACTGGAAAAATAATTGCTGTAATTAATCAGCATTTTAAAATTGGTTCTACTAATGCTTAAATATTTTAAAATTTTAATTAAATTATTTAAAAATATTGAGACATCTTTTGGCCACTGTATCATTCCAGTAAGAGGGGCTCCTGTGATGAATTTTCAAAATGCTATATTCATTTTTAGACGGTTGTTTAGAGCTGGAAAAATCATTAAGAACCTACTTAATGAGGATTAAATACACTGGAACATTTATGTGCATGCATTTTGAATGCTTGTGCAATATTAAGACAAAGGAGAAAAAAGAAAGCAGTAAGAAGATTGCTTCTTACTTCTCATTTTAAGGAGATGTCACTGTCAACCCAGCCAATCCAAGCCAGTTTGACATCTATAATTATGACATTTTTCAACAATCTGAGGGACTTGAGCACTTTAAAGACCCCACCCCCCAAAATCTTTCTGCTAGATTTTATGATATAATAAAAGCAATTTTCAGGAAATTCTGCCACAATTAAATATTTATTAGCAGGCAAGCATACAAACAGTAAACAACCTATTTTTTTCTTTTTTTAACTTGGTAAAGTCTCCCTCGTTGGTCCATAAGGAATTATGATGGAAGTACTTTGCATGAAACTTTTATTGGAAGCAGATGCTACAATATTCTAACAACATGATTAGGTAAATGACGAGTCAGCTGGGGAACAGAATCCTCAAGCCTAAATAACCTATCAACTACATTAAGTATTTCAAGATAACATTATAATGGAGATATCTTTATGGCATTATCTCTATGCTTTTTAAGTCTCTGCGTAAAAATGATTTAGTGCAAGTGAAAAGTAAATAAAATACATTTGCAAGCTATGGAAAAAACAGAGCAGAGCCGAGTCCTAGAAGATGGATCTCCTTTCCGAAGACTCTGTAAAGCCCATTCAGGCAACAGTGCAGATACTTGTGTAATATTATTAGTATTTCAGTTTAAGGTTACAGAATTAGCATATCAGGGATAACAAAAGTTTTAAGGGTATCAGTTTCCTGATCACACACTTCCACATTTGCCCTTTGCCCAAATCACATTGATTGGTCTTTCTCATCACCCATTTTCACAGTCACCCTGCACCTCCCAAAGTCTACAATGGTACATTGCCTTCAAGATATCACATCTCCTAGGTACTTAAAAAAGAGATGATCTAAAACATTGTTTATGGTAAGTGTCCTTTAACTATTAATCAAGGCAATTGGTCTGTTCTTTTCTTTATATTCTGTAGTACATATTTACTGGTTTGGGTATCAGGTTAATGCTTTCTCGTTAAATAACTCGGCACAAGAACATGGATAGAGGTGTTCTTCCTCTATTTTCTGCAAGATTTTATGTAGGATTGATATTGTTTCTTATGAAATGTTGGTTAGAATTTACCATCTGGGATGGAGTCATTTTATGATAGCTGATTTACTTATGAATTTAATTCTTTAAACAGATGTAGGGCTGATCAGATTTTCTAGTTTATCATTGGAAATTTGTTTTTAAGATTCTTAAGATGCATTTCTACTAGTGAAACATACCAATAGTGAAGTTATATAATTTATAGTAATCGAGTTCTTGATATGTTTGTATCTAATTTTAAGATTCCAGTTTATTATATCATTCTGTTTTCTTTGTCTGCTTTAAATCTTATTTGACTTCTCTTTAAATGTCATCTAAATCTCATCTTTAACAAAATATCTTATTCATTTTACTTTCTCATTTTTTTTGCCATACCCTCCCTCCTTTTTCATTTGTTGTTATCTAGATTTTTTTAAAATTTTTTCAATATTTATTTCTTTAGTTTTTAGGTGGACACAGTATCTTTATTTCACATTTATGTGGTGCTGAGAACCGAACCCAGTGCCTCACACACTCTAGGCCAGTGCGCTACCAATTGAGCCACATCCCCAGCTCCTGTTATCTAGATTTTAATAGGGATATATAGTCTTTTCTCAAGTCCTCACTATGTTTTTTTTTTTCTTAAGATACAAAAGAAAAAGGGAGAGGGGGGGGAAAGTTTAATTTTTTTTTTTTTTTTAGTTTTCGGCGGATACACCATCTTTGTTTGTATGTGGTGCTGAGGATCAAACTCTGCTGGCCAGTCGCATGCCAGGCGAGCCCGCTACCGCTTGAGCCACATCCCAGCCCTATGTTTTTTGTTTTTTTTTAAATAGCAAACTTCAATGATGTATTTAATTTGTTCTTATATGTCTTTTGTAGCATCTCAGATTTATTATTATTATTTTTTGCATCTCAGAGTTATTAAATGTTATACTTTAAAGTGCTATTTAAAATAGTCTACAAAACTATTTTTAATGTGAATCTTTTCTTAAAAAAGGCAAGGTTTTGAATTTCTGTGGACTTTTAAAAAATCATCTTCTAGTATTTGAATGAGTTTGGGTGAATCTCCACCCATGTTCAAATTTTTTCTTTTAATATTTTCAAGGTATTTTATCTTCATTTTGCTTCTAGAGATATTGTTGAAATGTGTAGCTCTGAATGTTTTTCCTGATTGGCTCCTTCCTTTGAAGCTTTTAGAAATTTCTGTTATCTCTGATTGATTCTTTAATTACCGGTGTGTTCTTCCACTAACATTACATAGCAAGTGCTTGGTGCCTAAATCACATAGAAACCCAGGCTACGGCATCTAAGGCATCAGCTTTTGCAAAATATTGGCACTTTATTATAGGTTAACTGGCAAGGAGAGAAGAGGCATGGTCAAAATTGTTTTCAGGGTCCCCTAATTGGGAAGGAAGGTAATTGGCCTGGGGTAAGGGGAATGGAGAGCTGATTGCTTGTAATCAGGAGTTGGGATAAAATAGTCAGCACCTAGTAAGCCAGTGCAGGGAATCTTGGATAATTGTGATTCTTCCTGCACTGTTGACAGAATTCCTTGCTTCTATCTAGCTCCACCAAACCCTGTTCTAGTTCCTCCTGGTCCACTCATCAGAGACTTTTGGTTTCATCAGGTTTCAAAGTCATTTTGGATCAGGTCTTTTTTTTTTTTTTTTTTTTTGAGGGTGGTACTGGGGATTGAACTCAAGGGCACTTGATCACTAAGCCATATCCCCAGCCCTATTTTTTGTATTTTATTTAGACACAGGTCTCACTGAGTTACTTAACGCCTCACTTTTTGCTGAGGCTGGCTTTGAACTTTCTCAATCCTCCTGTCTCAGCCTCCCGAGCTGCTGGGATTACAGGCATGCGCCACCACACCTGGCAGATCTTAGGGTTTTACACCTGATTTTGAAAAACAACTTGAACAGATTTTAGAAACAAGGAAATTAGAGTTTTATGACTCTTTCACTAATACTTCCTCTTTTAACAATCTCTGAGTTCTTATAGAAAGAATGTTTTGCTGTGGTCTGAATGTTTGTGTCTTCTCAAAATTCTTATGTTGAAAACCAATCCTCGGTGCAACAGTAATTAGAGATGCTTAGGCTGCAAGGACAGAGGTCTCTTGAGTGAGACTAGTGCTCTTATGAGAGAGGCCCAAGGGAGATATGTGCCCCTTTTCTACTATATGAGATTGCTTGGAGAAGGGACCATGCATGAGGATCAAGCCTCACCAGACACCAAATCTACTGACATCTTGATCTTGGAATTCCAGCTTCCAGAACCATGAGAAATAACTCTGTGTTGTTTATAAGCCAGTTTATAAGCCACCCAGTATGTTTGGTATAATGGTCTAAAAGGATAAAGATGTGTTTCATTTATTATTGGAAAGGATTCCTCATCATTCTTTAAATATTTTTCCTCTTGTTTTCTATTGTACTGTCCTTCCTAGGGTTCTATTATCTGTACACATTTTTTTTTTAAATATTTATTTTTAGTTCTCGGCGGACACAACATCTTTGTATGTGGTGCTGAGGATCGAACCTGGGCCGCACGCATGCCAGGCGAGCGCGCTACCGCTGGAGCCACATCCCCAGTCCCACATTTTTATTTTGCTTTTGTTGTCTTAAATTTAATAATTACTTTGTCTTTTACTTCTCCCTTTTGGGTAGTTACTCACGTGTTTCTTTCATTTTCTAATTCATCCCTCAGTTATATATTTCAATTCAACTCTTACCTAACTACCATGACCCTTCTAGCAATTATCTTATTTTTCATTTGTTTTTTTCTTGAGTTTTCTTTTAATGTGTTCCTACTCTAATTTGCATTAAAAAGATCTTGTGTATTATTTGAGATGGCTTAGTTTGTTCTAGTAGATTTATTTCAATTTTTGACTTGTTTGTTCTAATCCTTCTGTTTCAGAAAGACCATTTTATTATAGGTATATTCTTGTCTTGGCAAGTGGTTTTTCTCTTCAAATTTATTACTTCATTTTATTGGGACATTTCCTCCTAGACATATCAGATACCCTGTTAGAAGTGAGTCTGGGAGATGGGATCTCCAATCACAGAGCCCTATGGGTTTCAAGAGAAAGATCTGACATGGTGTATGTTTGGAAAGGTCCAGAAGACAGGAAATTACAGAATTACTTGTCATTTAGAAAAACTCTTCTTCCAGGTATGGTGGCCCACAACTGTGATCCCAGCAATTTAGGCAGCTGAAGCAGGAGAATTCAAGTTCAAAGCCAGGCTCAGCAAAAGCAAGGGGCTAAGCAACTCAGTGAAACCATGTCTCTAAATAAAATCCAAAATAGGGCTGGAGGTGTGGCTTAGTGGTTGAATGCCCCTGAGTTCAAGTAAATAAATAAATAATAAAATACAGTAAATAAAAAGAACTGGGGAAGTAGCTCAGTGGTTAAGCACCCCTGGGTTCAGTCACTAGTACCTCCACTTCCCCCAAAATTAGAAAAATTCTTCTCATTTAGATTTCAAATTTTATCTCTTATTTTAAAAATTTTCTTTAAATATGGAATGCTTCATGAATTTGCGTGTCATCCTTGCAGAGAGGCCATAATAATCTTCTCTGTATCATTCCAATTTTAGTACATGTGCTGCTGAAGTGAGCACAAATTTTATCTTTTGATAGATGCCAAATTGAGAAGGAAGTCTCATTCTGTTATTCTATTAGCTATTAAAGGAGGTGCATTAAAATCTCATGGCATAATTGTAGATTCGTTAATGTAACCATTTAGTTATGTCAGTTTTGTTGAATGTATTTTCAAATGTGTAATTGTGTGCACATAGATTTAGGATTTTTATGTCCATCTGATGGATTGTCTCTTTCATTATCAAACATATCCCAGTGACTGTGGTGATGCTCTCATCTCTTTACTCTCAAATATTATGCATCACAGTATTTATGATGTATGTATTCTAATTGCCATATCATTTAAAAATTGAGCTTGATATCTTATTCTTTTCTTGAAAAATCCATTTGACTTAAATTTAATTATTGATACATTTGGGATAATAGCAACAGTCTTTCAATTTACTTTACATGTGACTGATATCTTTACATTCATTATTATATTTATTCTTGTCTTTTTTGAATTAATAAGATATTTGAAATTATTTTATTTTTCTATATTTAATTGAAAAATGCATACTTTTTTCACAGTTGTTTTTAGTGGTTAATTTAAAGATCATTACTTTAGAAAACAGATGTGTGATTTAAAGCATTTAATAAAATTAAGAGTTTCGTCAATTCCCTGATAATGCCAGATTCTAGAACACTTGAACCCCTAATCCGCCTCTCATCATTTAACAACTATTGTCATGCACGTTGGTTCTGCATATATTTTAAATCCCACAGCACATTAGTTTTATTATTTTGTATAGTTAACATAAATATCCTTCTATTTAAATCTGATTCACCTTCACTGCTTCTTGTCTTTCTAAATAGCTATTTGGGATTGTCTTCATTTTCCCAGAAGAACCTTAGGAATTTCATTTGTGGCTTCTCCCCTGAATTTTCTTATATGTTTTGACTGAAGGTGTATACCTTCTTTTTTTTAAAAAAAAAATCTTTTTAAAGAACCAATTTTGGTTTCATTGATTTGTCTATTGATTTCCTGAGTTGTCACTGATTTCTGCTGTAGTTGTTATTTTATTAGGCTTCCTGTTGTCTTAAAGTGCTTGTCTCAGCTTCAATTGCTTTCCTTTTTCTAATTTCTGAAGGTAAAAGCTTACTTATTTTAGATGTTTTCCATTTCTAGTTTATGCATTAAATAACATAAATTTCTACATATTCATTGATTTTTCTGTATTCCACCAAATTTGATGTTATATTTCAAAATTTCTTGAGACCTCTTTGACACATGTATAATTTAGAAATGTTATTTAATCTCCAATTTGTTTTCTAACAGTTTCTCTGTTGTTCATTTGTAGTTTAGTTCCCTTATAGTCTAAAAACATACTTGCAGCCTGGTGTGGTAGTGCTCACCTATAATCCCAGTGGGTAGGGAGGCTGAGTCAGGAGGATCACAGGGTCAAAGCCAGCTTCAACAATTTATTGAGGTTCTGAGAAACTTACCAAGAACCTGTCTCAAAATAAAAATTAAAAGGGTTTGGGATGTGGCTCAGTGATTAAGTGCCCCTGGATTCAAACCCTGGCACCAAAAACTAATAAATAAACAAACAAACAAACAAATAAAAACATACTTTCTATGATATCTATTCTATTAAATTTGTGAAGATGTGTTTTATGGCACAGAATGTTGTCTTTGTTAATATTCCATATTAACTTGAGAAAAATATAGATTCTTTTGTTGTTGGATGGAGTCTTCTATAAATGTCAATTAGATCAAGTTGATGTTATTCAGTTCAATTCCCTCTTATTTTTTCATTGTTGGAATTACTGATAGAGGGATGTTGAAGTTTTCTCTATAAAAGTGGCTTTGTAAATTTTTCTTTGTCATTCTATCTGCTTTTGCACTAGATATTTTGACACTGTCTAGGTGTTTGCACATCATGAGAAACTGACGTGACTCCATTTTTTGAGAAACCAGCTTCTACCTCAAGGCCTGTCCAGAGGGAGGGGGCGTGACCCTTGTCCATGGAAAAACCCACAGAGCACTCCTAGGCACATATCCACCCTGCTAAGTTGTTTAACAGGAGAGATCCGTGGTGCCAGGTGTCCCTGACTCAGTTACACTAGGTGAGGACCCATAGCAACCCCCTAGTAACCACCAATCAGGGTGAGACAGGAAAAATATCTGAAATGCCAGGTGACCCTCCCAGTAGTTTCAGTGATTGATAACATGATTAGGCAACCCTGCAGTTTAGTGTATACAGTCTTGCAACCCCTTGTGGCCTAAATCAATCAGTTCAAATGTGTCCACCACTTGAACTAACCAATCACCCTTACCCAACTTGTTCCCACCAGTGAATGTGCTAATCAATGTTAAGAGTTGTTTGATTTTCCCGCATTTTGAAATGATTTGCTGTATGATGTTGTAATGCATAGAGTATCCCACCCAAAACCTATAAATCCTCACTGAACTAAGGGTCAGGACTCACTCCTCGGAACCCCTGCATCGGAAACGGTTGTGAGTCCAGGCTTGAGCTTGCAATAAAGACTCTTGTGTGATTGCATTGGATTCGGATCCTGGAGGTCTATTGGGGTCCCATGAATCTGGCATTACAACTCAAGATTTATTTAAGTGAGAAGAAAAGAGATAACTCCTTCAATATATGAGGGGAGCTAATAGCAGGTTTTCCCTGTTAAATGTACTAGTCTATGGGCTTGTAGCTTCTAGATAGGGGTACTGATCAAAATGAATGCTCAATAGGTATTGGGAAAATGTTGTGGCCATAAATTAAAATCTATATTAAACAGTATTTAAAAAGTACCATAGATAGGGGCTGGGGTTGTGGCTCAGTAGTAGAGTATTTGCCTAGCATGTGTGAAGCACTGGGTTTGGTTCTCAGAACCACATATAAATGAATGAATAAAATAAAGGTCTATTTGTTATGCTTGAGTTCAGGACCCCCAAAAGACCACCAGAGACCAAGATCAATGTAAGCAACAAAGAGGCAGTTATTGCGAGCTAGCTTGGTCCTCTGCACGCACACAGCAACTGGTGACACTGAGAGGCCCTGAGCCCAGGGTTTGCAGCAGTTTTATACACTCTTTGGGGAAGGCAGGGACTTCACATACATCATAGCATCTCTTAGCAAATCATCACACACCACAGGAAAATCATAAAACAACTCTAAAACATGATTAGCACATTCACTGGCAGGAACAAGTTGGGTAAGGGTGATTGGTTAGTACAAGAGGGGGATTTGTTTGAACTGATTGGTTTAAGCCACGAGGGGAGTACATGCTGAACGAAATGGTTTCTTAACATGTTATCAACCACCATAAACTACTGGGAGGGTCATCTGGCATCCCAGGTATTTTCCCTGTCTCATGCTGATTGGTGGTTGCTAGGGGGTTGCTATGGATCCTCACCTAGCCTGGCTGAGGCAGGGACACCTGGCTCCACAGATCTCTCCTGTTATTTGTAGATAAACAACTCAGCAGGGTAGGTATGTGTCTAGGAGTGCTCTGTGGGTTTTTCCAATGACAAGGGTCACGCCCCCTTCCTTGGACAGGCTTTGCTCTGAGGTAGAGGCTGGTTTCTCACTAGTGCTCTTGTTGTTTTCTTCCTTTTTGTGCCCCAATATCAATTCAATAAAGAAGACAATGTTTTGAGAAAAAGAAAAAAGAAGTTCTATTGCTTTGCTAGCAAAAGAGAAACAAGGGGACTCCTAACCCAGAGGCTGTGATTTCTACCCATCAAGGTGAAAAGAGGGTTTTTAAAGAAGTACATTCCAGGTGTGTCCTGACCCGGGTGGGGATGGGGTGGTGGGGTGGTGATGTAATTTACTAGTTAATCTGGGAGAGAGTCGTGTCTTAGACCTTCAGGTCCACCCTAAGTCTGAATTACTTTATTCCTCTGGTGGGTGTGTGCTCAAGAACAGATAACCTGTCCTAGGATAGGGAAGAAGGGTAGGGAATCCTGCTTCCCCCAAGGTTAGGGAGGGGATAGGAAGAAGAGGGAAAAAAATATCCATTTAATAATAAGACTCAGTGGTTAGGAGGAATTATCCTTATCTCCCAGAGTTTTAGGATCTGGTCACAAAAATCTTCTTCCCATCAACATTATCTTGGGCCTGCTTTTCTGCAGCAGTTAACAGGTAGTTTGCTGAGGAATGTGACATATCCTGCCCACTTAGGCCAGGCAGAGCTGCAGGTGAACTGCTTTTTGGAAAAGTGGGCTCTTGAGCGCAGTGGGCCTATTTTATAGAATTATTCTCTTAACCTCATCTTTCCATCATTCTCATCTGTTTGTTCCCTAAAAATTATAGACTACACATTCTTACAGTTTCTGTTTATCACAAAACCTCTTCATTTTGCCTCCACAGTGGTATGCTGAAGAGGGCTTTTACTGGATAAGGAATTCCAAGTTGACAACTTTTCTTTTTAGTTTTTAACTGTGTCAATCTATTGTGTTCCCTTTTGAATCTCATCTTTCCTCCATTGAAGGTAATGTGTTCTCCTAATCCCCTCATTGCTTTTGGAATTTTTTCTTGGTTTTTAACTGTCCAACAGTTTTACTGTGATATACTTAGGATAGACTATCTTTTTAGTTATCCTTCTATGGATTTGTAGAGATTTTTAAAGATACTCAATGATGGCTTTTTAAAATATTGTTTTTGATACATTCTCCTTTCTATCTTGAGTTCCTATTGCATGTTTCATAGTCGTCTCTTTGTGTGTTAGTTTGGGTTTCCATTGCTCTGAGCCTCATTTTAGTAATCCTATCTTCCACAATTGGTAATCTGCTTTTAAACCTATTAGTTACATTTCTAGTTTCAGTTATTATATTGTAAGTTCTGTAATTTCAGTATTTTTTTTCCTTGTATATTCCAACTTTCTACTGAAACATTTAATATTTTAATGTACTTTTTACAGTTTTTACCCTATTTTCTTGGATACATTAATTACAATTATTTAAAAGTCTTTGCCTATTTACTTCAATATCTGGATTTTTTGGGGGGAGGTTGGGGGGTACTGTGGT